TGTCAAAACACGCGTTATAGCAGAACTCACTGTATGTATATACCTCATAGGTAAAAAATAATGCTATTCAAGACATATTCACGTCATAAGACCCACTAATCCCCCACCCATCACTGGGTGACCTGACTTTGCATCAGGTCGGGTTAGTAACGTGACCCAATAATCTTCCACCCAAACTTCATCGCAAGTGTTAAGACATGATAAGTTATGTATTACAGTCAATTGAGTGAAGTGTGTAACAAAGACGTGACCGATCACCCAAGCGACTAACGAGCCTATCAGTGGTGAAGAGGATAAAAGTAACACAGTTTTATTCACGCCCGTATCATAAAGAGCCTTTGTTTTTTAATTATATTTATTTAACCAAACCTTTAGATAAAGTATTCAGAATTATTTTGAGAGAAAAAATGTGTTTAACGAAATTAGAACTGATTTTACTGACTCCGGTATCAGCATTTATTATTTTTAATGGAATTCCCATCTCTATATCATATAGAAATGTTTTGTTTTAGGATATCTTATTGGAAACGTTTGGTAGAGAATTTATTAAGCATCATTATTGTATCAAATTCATCTCCCTAACCCGGGGCTTAAAGGTTAAGGGCAGCCTTTATTATACAGAAGTTTAAGGGCAACCTTTAATATATAAATGTTTAAGGGCAGCTTTTATTATACAGAAGTTTAAGGGCAGCCTTTATTATACAGAAGTTCAAGGGCAACCATTACTATATAAATGTTTAAGGGCAACCTTTATTATACAGAAGTTTAGGGCAGCCTTTATTATACAGAAGTTTAAGGGCAACCATTACTATATAAATGTTTAAGGGCAGCCTTTATTATACAGAAGTTTAAGGGCAGCCTTATTATACAGAAGTTAAGGGCAACCATTACTATATAATCATTTAAGGGCAGCCTATATTGTATAAAGTTTAAGGCAGCCTTTATTATATAGAAGTTTACAACCATTACTATATAAATGTTAAAGGTCAGTCTTTATTATATAGAAGTTTAGGCAGCCATTACTATATAAATGGTTAACAGCCTTTATTATATAGAAGTTTAAAGCAGCCTTTATTATATAGAATTTTAAGGCAACCATTACTATATAAAACATGTAGGGCAGCCTTTATTATAGAAGTTTAAGGGCAGCCTATATTATATAAAGTTTAAGGGCAGCCTTTATTATATAGAAGTTTAAGGGCAGCCTTTATTATATAGAATTTTAAGGGCAACCATTACTATATAAAACATGTAAGGCAGCCTTTATTATATAGAAGTTTAAGGGCAGCCTTTATTATAAGAAGTTTACAGCCTATATTATATAAAGTTTATAAGGGCCTTTATTATATAGAAGTTTAAGGGTAGCTTTATTATATAGAAGTTTAAAGGCAGCCTTATTATAAAAATTTAAGGCAACCATTACTATATAAAACATGTAAGGGCAGCCTTTATTATATAGAAGTTTATACAGCCTATATTATATAAAGTTTAAGGGCAGCCTTTATTATATAAAGTTTAAGGGCAGCCTTTATTATATAGAAGTTTAAGAGCCTTTATTATATAGAAGTTTACACTTTATTATATAGAAGTTTATAGCCTTTATTATACAGAAGTTTAAGGGCAACCTTTAATATATAAATGTTTAAGGGCAGCTTTTATTATACAGAAGTTTAAGGGCAGCCTTTATTATACAGAAGTTCAAGGGCAACCATTACTATATAAATGTTTAAGGGCAACCTTTATTATACAGAAGTTTAAGGGCAGCCTTTATTATACAGAAGTTTAAGGGCAACCATTACTATATAAATGTTTAAGGGCAGCCTTTATTATACAGAAGTTTAAGGGCAGCCTTTATTATACAGAAGTTAAGGGCAACCATTACTATATAATCATTTAAGGGCAGCCTATATTGTATAAAGTTTAAGGGCAGCCTTTATTATATAGAAGTTTAAGGGCAACCATTACTATATAAATGTTAAAGGTCAGTCTTTATTATATAGAAGTTTAAGGGCAGCCATTACTATATAAATGGTTAAGGGCAGCCTTTATTATATAGAAGTTTAAGGGCAGCCTTTATTATATAGAATTTTAAGGGCAACCATTACTATATAAAACATGTAAGGGCAGCCTTTATTATATAGAAGTTTAAGGGCAGCCTATATTATATAAAGTTTAAGGGCAGCCTTTATTATATATGTTTATACAGCCTCTATTATATAGAAGTTTAAGGGCAGCCTTATTATATATAGAAGCTTATACAGCCTTATTATATAGAAGTTTTATACAGCCTTTATTATGCAAAGTTTATATAGCTTATTATCATATAAATGCACGGGCAGCATTTATTATATAGAGCAGCTTTCTATGGGCAGCTTTACTTATACAGAAGTTTTAAGGGCAGTCTTATTATATCGGTTACAAGCAGCCTTTTATTATATCGAAGCTTATGGGCAGCCTTATTATATAGAAGTTTAGCAGCCTTATTATATAGGTTTAAGGGGCAGCCTTTATTATACAGAAGTTTATGGGCAACCCTTACTATACAAACATAAGCAGCCTTTATTATATCGGAAGTTTAAGGGCAGCCTTTATTATACAGGAAGTTTATACAGCCTTTATTATACAGAAGTTTAAGGGCACCCTTTATTATATGGAAGTTTAAGGGCACCCTTTATTATATAAAAGTTTAAGGGCAGCCTTTATTATACAGAAGTTTAAGGGCAGCCTTTATTATACAGAAGTTTAAGGGCAGCCTTTATTATACAGAAGTTTAAGGGCAGCCTTTATTATATAAAAGTTTAAGGGCACCCTTTATTATACAGAAGTTTAAGGGCACCCTTTATTATATGGAAGTTTAAGGGCAGCCTTTATTATATAAAAGTTTAAGGGCAGCCTTTATTATACAGAAGTTTAAGGGCACCCTTTATTATATGGAAGTTTAAGGGCAGCCTTTATTATACAGAAGTTTAAGGGCAGCCTTTATTATACAGAAGTTTAAGGGCAGCCTTTATTATATAGAAGTTTAAGGGCAGCCTTTATTATATAAAAGTTTAAGGGCACACTTTATTATACAGAAGTTTAAGGGCAGTCTTTATTATATGAAAGTTTAAGGGCAGCCTTTATTATACAGAAGTTTAAGGGCAGCCTTTATTATATAGAAGTTTAAGGGCAGCCTTTATTATATAGTAGAGTTTATGGCACCCTTATTATATTAAGGGCAGCCTTTATTATACAGAAGTTTACAAGCACTTTATTATATGGAAGTTTAAGGGCAGCCTTTTATTATACAGAAGTTTAAGGGCAGTTTTATTATGCTAGAAGTTTAAGGGCAGCCTTTATTATATAGAAGTTTATGGGCAGCCTTATATAAATGTTTAAGGGCAGCCTTATTATACAGAAGTTTAAGGGCACCCTTTATTATATGGAAGTTTATACACCTCTTTATTATATAAAAGTTTTAAGGGCAGCCTTTATTATACAGAAGTTTAAGGGCAGCCTTTATTATACAGAAGAAGTTATACAGAAAGGGCAGCCTTTATTATATAAAAGTTTAAGGGCACCCTTTATTATACAGAAGTTTAAGGGCACCCTTTATTATATGGAAGTTTAAGGGCAGCCTTTATTATATAAAAGTTTAAGGGCAGCCTTTATTATACAGAAGTTTAAGGGCACCCTTTATTATATGGAAGTTTAAGGGCAGCCTTTATTATACAGAAGTTTAAGGGCTGCCTTTATTATATAAAAGTTTAAGGGCACCCTTTATTATACAGAAGTTTAAGGGCACCCTTTATTATATGGAAGTTTAAGGGCAGCCTTTATTATACAGAAGTTTAAGGGCAGCCTTTATTATATAGAAGTTTAAGGGCAGCCTTTATTATATAGAAGTTTAATGGCAACCATTACTTTACTGTATAAATGTTTAAGGGCAGCCTTTATTATATAGAAGTTTAAGGGCAGCCTTTATTATATAGAAGTTTAAGGGCAGCCTTTATTATTTTTAAGTTTAAGGGCAGCCTTTATTATTTTGAAGTTTAAGGGCAACCATTACTATATAAACGTTTTCGGGCAGCCTTTATTATTTTTAAGTTTAAGGGCAACCATTACTATATAAACATTTAAGGGCAGCCTTTATTATTTTGAAGTTTAAGGGCAACCATTACTATATAAACGTTTAAGGGCAGCCTTTATTATTTTGAAGTTTAAGGGCAACCATTACTATATAAACATTTAAGGGCAGCCTTTATTATATTGAAGTTTAAGGGCAACCATTACTATATAAACATTTAAGGGCAGCCTTTATTATATTGAAGTTTAAGGGCAACCTTTATTATATACAGTCATGGATGTCTACTAGGGGAGCAAGAGGGGGCAGCTCCCCCCCCCCCCTTCTGGATCAATCTTGTATCAGAATATATAAGTAAAACATACCCAACAAAAGAAGGGGATTTGAAATCTAACAAAAACAAAGGGAAGGAAAAACAAGCCACTAAAATATTATCCCATTGAGCCCAACTGTGGGGGCTTGCCTATTCCCCTCCCCGGAAAAGTTCCAGCAGACCCCTTGTCCTTCCCCTGGAAAAGTTTTTGCAGACCCCTTGCCTTCCCGCCTTCCTGGGAAAGTTTCAATAGACCGCTTGGTCCTCCCCCCCGGAAACGTTCTGGAAGATGCTCTTGTATGCAGTAGAAGTTTAAGGGCAGCCACTATAAGTTTAAGGTTTAAGGTAACCATTATGATATAGAAGACATTCTGTATTTGTTTCCTCTGGAATAATCCATATTGGTCTTGTGGGTATGAAAAAAAAAATGCAAATGTCTCCATGATGTGTAGTGTCAAAATCATTGAGGTTGCTTTAAAGATACTGAGGTAAAAGCCAAGAGAATTAATGAAAAATCTGTAGATTTTTTTGTATCATTTATTTAATAAAATTCAATATATCTAGATAGAAAAAGCTTTTTGTGTACTGTATACAGTATTTCATGACATTTAATTAATTTTCCAGGAATGTGGTTGTAAATATTATCCTCCAAGGAAGTAGTCCACTTCCAGCAGGACAACAGCCATGGATCCACTTGGAGGACAGCCGATACCTCAGGCAACAGTTCAGCCAGCTGTTTGGTATAACTACAGTACATACAATGAACTTCTTGTTAATCCGGTGCAAGTGCAGGTGGCTGTGCCAACAGTTCAGATGGTTGCTGCACCATCACAGACTCCTACTCCTGCACCAACACCTGTTCAAACACCTGTACCACAGGATCAAGTAGCCTTAACTGTCACTATGGTTCCATCAAAGTCAAAAAAAACAAAAAAAAATTCACCTGATAATCAAGAACGTAATTTTCATTGTGAAGAGTGTTGTTCTTCTTTTACCAATAGTTCTAACCTTCGGAGTCATATGCGCATTCATTCTGGTGTGAGACCATATGTGTGCGTTGAATGTGGAAAATCTTTTATTCAAAGCTCCAATTTAAAGGCACATAAGCGTGTACACACAGGTGAACGGCCATATCAGTGCTCAGAATGTGGCCAGACATTTTCTAGGTCTTCGCACCTAGTAGGTCATAAACGTACCCATACAGGAGAAAGACCTTACATCTGTGGTATCTGTGGAGAAGCATTTTTCACATCATCACACTTAAGAAATCATGTGCGACGACACACTGGAGAAAAACCATATGTTTGTCAGTTTTGTGGAGATGCTTTTGGACAAAGTGTAGAACTGAGAGTTCATATGCGACACCACACAGGAGAGAAACCTTTCAATTGCCATGAGTGTGATACAGCATTTGTAACTACTCGTGATCTTAAGGCTCATCGCAAAACACATCACTTAGGCTCTAAACCTTTCAAATGTGAACAGTGTGATAGATTTTTTCGCACCCCCACATTTTTGAGTAAACACCAGCTTCGTTGTAATGGCCCAAGACCCAAACGGCCCAAAGGGAGACCTCGCAAATATCCAAGACTTGATGGAGAGGAACCACCTTGGAAAAAGCCCAAGAAGCGAAAGAACAAACAACCTGCTGCTCCCACTGATAGAGTTTCACGATCTAGGACCAGAGCAATTCGTGATGCTCAGTTAAAACAAGAGGAAGATGACTTACTTGATGAAGTGGAGAGGGAAAACAATTCTGAGCATCAACAGGAAGAAAATGAAGTTGACTGTGAGCCAATGCACATACATATAGATGAAAATTCTCATTTGAAATCAGAAGGATTGGTATCCGATGCGCATATCTCACAACTCCCAATGGTTCCAATGGTACAAGTGATGTTAGACAACCTTGGGCATGAAGCTGATGGTTTGGAGCACTCTCAACCACAGGCTCTAGTGCTTCAATCTGCATCATCTGCTGTACATGCAATTCATGGTTTACCTGAACAAAGCCAACATCAAATTGGAGTTATAGATCTATCTGGCCAACACATACATCAGGATGATCACCAACAGGTGGTTTCTGTTAGTCAGAGCCTTGCCATGGTTTCTACACATCAACCATTGACTACAGTTACAGCTAGCCATCAGCAGCTGCCAGTGATCAGTGCACATCAGCAGTTAGCATCTGGAGCACCACATCAGCAGTTGACTGCTGTGACAGGACATCAAATGCCAGTTGTGACAGCCCATCAGCAGATGCCAGCTATGACAACACATCAGCAGATGCCAGCTGTGACAGCACATCAACAATTGCCTGCTGTTACTACTCATCAACAATTACCAGTTGTGACAGCACATCAACAATTGCCAGTAGTGACAGCACATCAGCAAGTACTGGCTGTGAATGCTCATAAGCAGGTTCATAGTGGCCCTCATCAGTTACCAGTGGTAGCTGCTCATCAGCAAACTGTGAGTGCTCATCAGCAGTTAACTGTAGTAAATGCACACCAGCAAACAATGAGTGCCCATCAACAGTTACCTGTGGTATCTGCTCACCAGCAAGTTGTTAACCATCAGCAGTTGCCTGCTGTAACTGCTCATCAACAAAATGTTAGTGCACATCAGCAGGTTGTTGTTTCAGCCCACCAGCCTGTCTCAGTTGTAACAGCTCATCAACAGGGCTTAGTTGTTTCAGCCCACCAGCAAGTGCCTGCTGTGTCTGCTCCTAAGCAGAGTGTTCATGGTACAAGTGAGAGTTCCCAGGTGATATATGGATCAGGACAACCGTATGTGGTAGATCTCTCTAGCCCTGCACTTACCACACAGGTTCCCATTGTCAATCAAGCCATTGCAACTACTCATTACACCAGACCATAGTATAATGTTTGCTAATTGGTGACATTTAACTTGTATCTAATGGTTGACACCACATGAGTTTAATTGGGAAAATTGGTTTCTCACCTGAATCACACCAGCTCAAGTGGAAGACTATATACTGTAGTCTTAAAGTTAATTATTTTAGCACTAAGTTAAACGGAAACTCTTAGTGATCTGTTAACCTAAAGTCCCTTGAAGGCCAACATACGATTAGGTCACAGTAAGATTTAAAATGCTGGAATCTTCAAAGTATATTATGTTAATATGCATTAGTACTGTATTATTACCATTCTCACTGGTGTTTTTGCATTTGTAATTCCACATTATATGTGGTAAAAGTTATTAATGTCTCCATTAGATTTAATTTAGTGATTTGGGACACATGACAAGTATAGCCTCTATGCATTTTTAACATGTTACTATCTGAGATTAAGAATTGGTAAAGTATTTTATATTTGCAAACAAAAGAAGACGATATATGTGATTGCAAATACTGTAGTTCTGTACCTAGTAAGAGAACAGCTCTGTAAGGTAATTTTTATTCTAATTTTAAGGCCATAAATGAGGACAGTGTTCCTATTTTGAGTGATGGTATTTAAATATACTTAAATAATGTACTGAGTTAGTCTATTGTAATTCATGAAAACTTGGTGATCCTCTTCATAATTAGGGCATTGAATCCAAATCCAGGTACATTTTTGTCAAGTCCCAGTTTGCTGTCATGAGAAAATGATTATCTGTTTTTCTTATTGTCAATGATGAATAGTTTATACAATGCAATTAATAGATTCTCACATATCATTTTGGCATGTGGTCATTCAAAATCTGAAGTGTGTGTAGATATTCATAATGTATGGTTGAATAACACACACACTTTTTTTAATGCAGGCATTGTTTAAAAAAATTAATAGATATCCATAGATGAGTTCCTTAATTCCAGCTTTCAATATGCCTTATCTTCTCCATTATGGCAAACTTGTCGAAGTGGTTAGAAAGCATGAATTATTCATATAATGTACATAGGAAGAAGTCTTGGTCCGGCATTTGGTATGATGAGTCTATATTAGAGTTTGATTTTTTGTAAAGGATAATAAAAAGATCTTGTTATAGTAGTGCCTCCTGAGGAACAGATTTTCTAGAACTTATTTTTTCTGTCAGACAGCAAGATGGGATTACCTGTAACTTATTTTTGTTGTTATCCTCAGTTGAAACTTGAAAATTAACGTGTATATTTATTTACTATTGATTATTCCTAAGATGAAATGAAAAAGGATTTATGTATAGCTAATATGAAAAAAACGGGATAGGAAGATAAGATTTTTTTATGTATAATATCGATGCTCATCAGTACCTAAAATATGATGGCACCGTGCCATTGTCTAATTCACTGCTAACTGTTAAAATTTCTGCATCATCATGAAACTTTCACCACCAATTTTAAAACCTGCTTTTGACCATTTATAGGTCCATTTCTATGACCAAGGATATTGAAGACAGTAATAAAGTAATTTAATTAGACACTAAACTCCCTATCTGAAGTTATCATTTGTAATAAAGTACAATGAACAGGAAAGGTTAAAAATGGCCCTGAAATGGGTCAAATGATATAAAAAGGGGATTGCTAATTTGAATCACTCACTTTTCCATTGATAAATATAGAGTTGTGTGGTGATCACTGAATATGAAAAGACTTGTATTGTTAATATAATGACCAGCATAATGAAATAATAAATAAATTGGTTGTCAGTGTGTCTTGTTACTTAAGAGAATCTCAGTTATTATGATACTTATGTAATGGAAAGAGCTTTTTGGCTCAGTTGGTAGTGCTCTGGACTTTTAACTCATTTTGTGCAATTCAGTCCCATGGCCAGGCAGGGTTGTTGAGGCATTTGTGTGCTGGGTTGGCCACCAGCCAAGTCAGTGCCCTAGGCTCTGCTAATCCTCACCTGTGGGGTTACCACCCTACAAAGAATGGGAAATTGCATGAAGGAGGACTTGGGTAATTGTAAATTTTTCATTCAGGATGTGGAAAGAGGCCTTTATTGTGTTTTGTGCTGATTTGAACTCAAACAATGTCATGTAAATTTTACTTGAAAGTAAAGTACAGTATGTTTAAGGAATGTTTAACGTATATAATATTTTTCACACATACATAAAAGTAAATTGAACTTAAGTGTTAATGGTAATCTGAAAGTAAATGTCAAAACTACAGAAGATTGAACTGTTGAATGATATGCTTGTGCAAGATACTTGTACAGTATAGTATTATACTTATCATGTATACTTCTTATTCCAACTACAGGAGCTTATGGCTTTGATTGGTTACTTGTGTGATCTCTTCTGGGAGTGAAATAAGCATGAAGTCAGTGGCTCTTAGGCATGTCTTACTGTAGCATATACACAGTACAATACTGTACTTATAACTGAAAGGCTCTTAAGTGCATATGTATTGTTTTAAACCTAGAGCACTTAGCAGGGGGTGAGGCTCTCAACTTACCTTAAAGATATGCAGTGATCATATATATTTATGATTATTTTATGAATACTTTCTTGAATAAGTATTTCACATTTCAGATATTTTGCTAAAAGTTATTTGTACTTGGAAATTATTTTGCTTATACTGTATTGTGTATATATATGTGTTAAATTGCTGGGTCAGGAACAAAAATAAGATTTTATTTCCCAAGAAATTGTGATTGTATTCGCCAAAAATATAATAAAAATTGATCTGTAATATTTAAGAAAAAAGTAGTTTATTGAAATTTTTAATAAATAAGTTTGAGAACTTTCTGTCTGTTTGTGCTTTCAAATTTGAGTGGAGCAACCTATAGTGTGATGGTCAACATGCTCACCTCAGAAGTAAGTGGTTCTGGATTCGATCCTCAGGCAGGGTAAAACTATTATATTGTCAATTTTCTATGCCACATGCCTCTGTCTACCCAGCAGTAATTGGGAACTTGGAAGTTAATTGATTTGTGGATCATGTTCCAGGTTAATGGTTAACCAGTGCAGTTGTCGAATTGTCCGGTCTTCTTGTGTTATTCCTTAACACTGGGTCACACACACCTAGTTAACTTAGAGTGTGGTGGTTGTGTTGGCAACAGCACCTTAACCTTAAACAAATTCATGCCCAGGTGGCCCTAGGGCCGGCCATCCTCAAGCACGAGGGTCAATCATTATACTGTATGACACTTAGTTCTATCAGATGTACATACAATAAAAATATGGAAATAAATGGTGGTAGCTTTGCTGAAACAAGATACAGTGCGAGTGATTTTACACCTTTGCTTCACCTTCTTGATATAGAAGGAAGTTTGCTTGTGTCTTGCTTCTCTCTACATTTATTTTTTTACCCTTTCTCTAGTGTCCTATCCTGATAGATTTTACATCATGGTTGCCATACCTTGTTACACTATCCAAATAACTTGCATACTGTGAAATAAAATATATTACTCTTTCTTTAGGTTTCATTTTCCATAACTTAAATATTTTCTTAATCTTTTGAACATGAATCACAGCAAACAATGTACAGTAATGTATTTGTATGTTTGAAGTATACTCACAAATTGTTAAAACTATTTGAATTTATAATTTGCAACAGTGGCTTTCAGTATTCATGAGTTTGCAGCCTTTTACCCTACCCCTGCATTGCCTTCCATCCATCTTACCAACTCAGTTGTGAATTCCCCCTCCTTCCTTAATAATGCCTTCTCAGCATGAGTGGAGCAGCTGTAAAGGCAGAAGAAATTGACTGTGTTAGACAAAACTTAGACATGGTAGCTACAGGTCAAGTGTTTCTTTCTGTAATAGGCAGGTATTTTTGGTGCGAATGACTTTACTCTCTGGTACACTTGGCATAGATCCTGGGGGGGGGGATACATCTGCAATCAGGTTGGAGGGGAACATATTTTTGTTTTACAATAAATGATACAGGTTGACAATCCCTTAAACGAAAACCTTGGGACCAAATGCATTTCGGTTTTTAGAATGGTTAGGGTTTTTTTTTTTTTTTTTGTATACAGGGATCAGCTCACCCGGGCACAGGTCACTGACCCACATTGGGGCCTGGGGGCTAAAATATAATAATAATAATAATAATAATAATAATAATAATAATAATAATTCATAGGTCTAGGTCGTGTTTCTCACTTTTGATCTTTTTTCATTCTTGTATTTCTTTATTATTATTATTTTATTATTACAGTATTATTGTTATTATTATCATTGTTATCATTCTTATTTTATTTTTGTGTATTTTTTATTAAAATTTGTATTTACTATGAATAGTTATTATTATTACTGTACAGTGATCCCTCGGTTAACGAACGCCTCGGTTAACGTAATTTCGGTTAACGAACTGCCTTCCATAAGAATCTTCAATTCGGTTAACGAATTTCTTACGAACCGACCTCAACATGTTTTCGCTTGCACTGGCCGGGCAACCAGCTTTAGTATCAGTCCACCAATACATTAATCGGTTCTAGGGCTTAAATTCCTTACTATTTTAGTAAATATCAAGAAGTTTATACTATTCAATAATTTTAAAAGTTTAATATTAAATTTTTTAGTCATTTTAACAATTATTGAACATAATTGAAGGTAAAGTGACTAGTTTAATGTGCGGCATCCAGCCTCTTAACACAGCAAACAGGCGTTAGTCTCTCTGTATTCACTGGAGGTAACATCTTGCTTGAGACTCTCTTCAACTAAACGCTTTTTTTCTGTGTTTCCAAGCAAATTATTGGTCATTTTGATATACAGTATATTTTACATATTGACAATATATAATGCAGTGCAGTGTTGATTTAAAGAAAATAATCTTGAAATACACTAATAGAACTAAAATTTTATGGGTGAAATGGTGCCATGGGGTGACTTCTCTTCCACCCCAATGCCTTCTCTTCTTCCTTCTCCTCCACCCCCATTCTAATTCCCATCATCATCATCATCATCATCATCATCATCATCATCATCATCATCCAGGAGCCTTCTACATACACACCTCAAAGTAAGTGAACTTTTCTACCATTTTTGTTGAATTTAGGAAATTTTCGGTGAGCTGGAACCAATTACCCAAAAACCCATTGAAACAATGGTTTCGGTTAACGAACTTTTCGGTTAACGAACAACCTGCTGGAACGGATTGAGTTCGTTAACCGAGGGACCACTGTATTATCATTATTATTATAATTATTATTACTATTACATTTTCATCCCCCAGGCCCCAATGTGGGTCAGTGACCTGTGCCCGGGTGGGCTGTTAACAAAAAACAAAAAAAAAAAAAAATTTGCTCTACAAAAAAACTTTCGGTTTTCAGAGCTTTTCGGTTTTTGGAATTTCGGATAAAGGGTTGTCAACCTGTATTGTCCAAAAAATTTTCTTTTTGAATATTATCTTGAGACAAATAAAAGGACAACTTACAGTATTAAAAAACCATTATATCTCCTGTAGTCCTTTGAATAATGTAATTTTGCCTATTTTTATCATGCTTTCAATATTTTATGTTACTTGAAAACATGGCCAAGATCTACATTAACACCGAGACATTTGAATCCCATCACCATACAGTATGTCCTGTTAAAACAAAAAAGTGTTGAGGCTTCAGAATTTGTGAACAAATCAGCATGAAGGAAATCTGTGTTTGGGAATACATTTTACCCTCGTTACTTCAATAAAAAATGGGCTCTAGGTCACTCGAATTACCGAAAAATCAAAATTAACCGAGTCTGGAACAGTCAACCCTCGAAGATCGGGACTAAAAGTTGGGACCACCTGTCCAATAAAGTCAATTGCCTGTTTCTTCCGGCGAATATACTAAATGTATAAGAACGATAAATAATTATAAAAAAAAACAAAAAAACATACAGTACCGTACTTTATGGAGTATATGACAACCCCCATTTTAGCAGGGAATATTTAGAAAAACTTTGGTGTGTATTTTCCTCTTGTAGCCATAGTTTTCTTAAAATAGTATATACCATGGAGGTATAAAGGGTGGAGGCAGCATGTCGCATGCTCCCAGTACTGTCAGGTGAAGCCAATTCTCCCCCAGATAGGCTCACTTTGTGTAGGCTGGTTGCACGCCAGGAGGCTGAGTGACCCTCATTGACACTAGTTTGCACTGTTTACACTCATAGCATCCCTAAGTGATTAAGTGAAATTATATTTTTATTTTCAACCATTTATTATATACTATAGTACAATAAAACTACATTTCAATGAACAACACTAATTATTAGCATGACTTATCCTTATCATGGGACGAGCCTGGTATCCTGAGCACAGGATTTCTGTGCATTTTTACCTTGCCGACTGATCATTAGATTCCACTGAACAACATTAACTTATTCATGCTAGTTCTACTTTTGACAGCTTTGAAAGATACGTTTTGTGCTGTGAACTGTTCGCCTGCATATGTGTATCTCACCTGTAGATGGGTCTCAGCTACTGCTTTGATTAGCAATACAGTGAGTTCTGCTATAACGAGTGTTTTGACAACGCGAATTGACTCTAACGCGATTTATGAATAGAGGAATGATATTTGTAAAACACGAACGCTTGTTTGCTGTAACGCGATTTTTGCTCCCTATTTCTCCAATTTTGTGGTATTAACTGTGAATATGGTAAAGAAGAATATCTCCAAGAAGCGTTCTGGTGATCGCATTCCCGGTGATGATTGTAAAAGAAAGGCTATAACACTTGAAGAGAAGCTCGATGTTATCAACCTCAAACTCACCCTTCTCACCCATCAAGTTATATTCATATTTTTTCAAGGTAAAGTGTTACATTTACTGTATGATTTCATTATTAGATATGAATGTAACATTTATTTAGACTGTGCTATCCTTTGTGTTAGGCTAACTACTAAATATTTTTCGATTTTGAGTAATCTGTACCTAACCCTATTTTCTCCATAAGCCCTGTTATTTCTATTGTGCGAATTTCTATAACACGATGTTTTACAAGAACACAACTATCACTTTATAGCAAAACTGACTGTACAAGATGATTGTTGAGAGGATCACTTTCTGACATGTGTATTGCCAAGCCTGGGGATATAGTTTTGTTCAGGAACTCTGACAATACATAAATTACAATTTTGTGGCAATCATATGTTGACAGTTTTGCATAGGGGTGTATTTTACTAGCAAGCAATATTTTTTCTCTGAATATCTTTTTGTATAAACAAGATATAGCAAAATATTAGATTCCCTTTGGTTTTTATAGTGATTAATGCATGAGTTTCATCAACATTTTGGGTAAATAGTACAGTAATACCCCGATTTACGCGGTCAATTGAACCCGCGGAGTAGCGCGTAAAACGAGAAACGCGTAAATGGAATAACAACATATGGGATTAATTGAAATAGAGACTGGGCCCCCAAACTCCTCTTTTTCCGACACAATACGTACGTTGCAGTAAAAATAACATCTTAACTTTAAGATGGTATGCACACACACATAATATAGAAGAGAAATATCAATAAGAGAATAATTTACTGTACCAGGTAAAAGAAAAATCAAGGTTTAACACTTACGTCAGGTTAGGTTAGGTTAGAAAAAATCAAGGTTTAACACTTACGTAAGGTTAGGTTATGTTTTAAAAAATCAAGGTTGAACACTTACCTAAGGTTAGGTTATGTTAGGAAAAATCAAGGTTTAACACTTATGTAAGGTTAGGTTATGTTAGAAAAAATCAAGGTTAGGTTTAACACTTACGTTAGTAGAAGAGATGGGTCGGCGTACGGGAATGGCGGCTGGTTCCGAGGCAGAGGGCAGGCTACTGGCCCTCAGGTGAGTCACCATCACTGTCCTCCACATTTGTCAGGGCCTCCCTGACAAATCCCTCAAAGTCACCATCACTGTCTCTATCACTATCACTGGCTTGGGCTGGCTGTGGTGGGTTGCGGGCAAAGAACTCGGTAATGCTTTGTTGTCGGCTACTGTTGATGTTGTCGTGATACACCTTGATCTACGGCTCCATAGCCTGCAACAGCTGGGTAGTGAAGACTTCATACCGGTTATTGTTAGGGTCGTCGGAAAGGAGGAGTTTCAGTTTCTCTGCACACTCGATGGCACCCCTAACATTACCATGCGTTAACTTGTGTTCTTCTCGGGATGACGCACCACCTGCCTCTTCACTGACGTGATCGTCTTCTAACATCTCGTCGGCAGTCACCTCAGGATGTCTTCGTTGGTGGTCTCGGAGAAGCCTTTAGCTGTAACACTCTGCGCAGCTTCTCTTGCAAGGTCCACTGCCACTGCAACAGACTGAACCTCACCATTCACAGGTTGACTCTGCCTCCCACCTGGGATACCTTGCAACACATGCCTCCATGCGTGACGAACCGTTGCTACAGACAGCTGATCCCATGCCTCCACCAAGAAGTCCACAGCTTTCTTGACGTTAAATTTCTTCCAAAAGTGTTTCACGAGAACTTCATGATCCGCCAACTGTTGTTCCTCGTCCTCGTCGCTCTTGCTATCGGTGTTACCCAGGTAACGTAACTCATCCTTGGTGTTGGTACAGTCGTTCAGGAGCTTAAACTTCTTTGCAGAGTATACAGCTTTCACATTGCAGATTAATTCTTGGTCCATGGGCTGGATTAATGACGTAGTGTTGGGAGGAAGGAAGACCACTTTTACGTTGGGGTGACGATCCAACAGTAGGGGCAAGTGTCCTGGTGCGTTGTCAAGGAGCAACAAAATCTTGAATGGAACATTCTGTTGCTCGCAGAATTTCTTTACGTCGGGAACGAAACGGGCATCAAACCAGGAGAGGGACAGAGCAGAGAACATCCACGCCTTACGTGCGGTCAGCCAGTGGACATTTAGCTTGGTCATGTCCACGTTCTTGTAGGCTTGCAGGCTGTGTGGATCACCGATAACTTGAGTTTACAGGAACCGGAGGCATTGGTGGTAAACAGGACGGTGATGCGCTCCTTCTGCAACTTCTGGCCCCGACACTTGCTGGCAGACTGGACAACGAAGGTCTTGGAAGGTAGCTTTTTCCAAAACAGACCGGATTCGTCCATGTGGAACACCTGGTCGTCGGTATACTGTCCTTCCTCCATAATCTCATGTAAGAACGGAGGAAAATCCCTAGCTGCAACACGGTCAGCACTCGCTTCTTCACCACCAATGTTAATGTTGGTAATCTTGTTCCTATTCTTAAACCTTTGCAGCCACCCAGAGGAAGCATTGAAGGGTTTGGGCTCTGCAATTCCCATCTTACGTGACACTGCTGCGTACAGTTCACGTGCGTACTCCTGAACTGACCGGATGTTTACCGCCATGTTCCGTCTTGCCTGACGAATCAAGTAACACACAAGTAAATTTTCTGTCTTGAGAAGCACCTTGTTCTGGCAATACTTGATCATTGAAGCACCTGCAGACTTTGTGATGTTCATGTGATCTTTTATCTTGGCTGCATCCTTCTTTATCGTCCGGATGGTAGATTCGTTCACGCCATGCTGGCGTCCCAAATCAACTTGTCTTGTTCCGTTCTCCAACTCTTGAATAATCTTGTAGTTCACATCGTAGCTTAGGGCACGTCGTATCTTCTTTGGCTTAGGGCGGCTGGGTCCAGGTAATGCAAGGTTTTTCTGTGGTGTTGGTGGTGGTCCAGCGGCAGCCATTCTTACGGAACAATAGATACCTGTATGCACTGTGTGGCCGGGAGGGATGTAGCTGACGCGGCTAGGTCAAGCGCCTTCTACTCGCCAGCGGGAAGGCACGTCATATTACATTAAATCAATCACAGCTAGCGGCGGAGGGAGGTAAGGATGCGTGGCCCCAATCAGTCCGATACGTCATATGACGTTACCGATAACGCAACAGAGGCATCCACTGCGCAAACGACTCGCGCCGCGTGCCCAACATGGCGGGAGGTTTGAAACCAAAAATGGCGGCACGGCAGGACCGCCAGCCGCTCTCCCCGTATATGAGTAGATGCACTGCGTAAAGTGGGCATTCCGGTTCTGGCGGGGTACCGCGTAAACGGGAACCGCGTAAAGCGAGGTATTACTGTACACTACAACATGCTTCACACTTCAAATATTTCTTAAGTTTCACAGAAACAAAACCAGCTATACAGTATATGCAACTATATTCTCAGTACAGGGTGAAACCATACTAGATGAAACTAAATTTGCATTTCCCTCTCCTGAGAGCACATCAGATTCCTCATTTTGATAAATGTTATCTTGCTCAAAGACCCTGCTTTTATCAAGAGAAGAGTTAATTAAATTGCTTGATGGACCATTGGCATTAAGATCCTTTAAATAATTACTAGAGGCAGTCAGGATTGGGATAGATTCTAAAGCTAAGCAATTTCCACAAGTCACTTCTTTAACATAATTGTGTGTTAACACCTTGTAGGCTGCTGAGAATTGCCGAGCCATGGGATTGTTGTTGCGCCCTCCCATATTTCTAATTTTGCCCAAAAATAGAACTGTATGATCCTGACTCATCTTGTAAGTTAAGAAATAATCCAAAAGTGGTTTTGAAGTAACAATTAGCATTTTGCTAATATTTTGCAGACTTTTGCAGCACACAAGGAATCTAATAAATCCTGTTTTTCTTCTCGATTAAACAATAGACAACTTATCAGGCAGTAATGTTAAGGAAACCAGATACTGTTGTACACTTTCAATGAACTTCATTACCTCTGAATTATTATCTGCTTGCAAAGGCCGCTTTCAGCCGTAACTACACAAATTCCGAGAATTCATGATGCAGACCTTTTTATTCCTGTAACTGGTGGGGACTGACAATGAATTGCCACTCAATTGTATTACCTTCTGCTTCAAAAAATTTACCTAGATTGCCAAAAGAATTTCTTAACTTGAACATATGACATGGATCAAGAAAAATGCACACTGGCTCTCCTGTAGCAGGATGATTAAAATATGACTTTATATTTTCAGGATTCAAGCTGCAACCGAGATTTTTCATCACAGCTAAATTAGGAGCTGCACCATCAAAAGTTAGAGATACAATATTCACTCCAACTGAATGAAGTTTGTTCAAAGCCTGCAAAACTAAATTACTGCTTTCATTACCGCAAAGTCCATAATAACAAAATAGCCAATTGGTAACTTAAAAGTAAACTTGTGTGACACTACCATAAAAGTGAGAGATTCTTTAGCTACAGGCAAGCAATCATCGTCTAGTTCAATCCCCACGTCGATAAACCCGTGATTTTTTTGCCAACCTATTCAACATGTTGATGAATAGCCATTTCATCCAAAGAAAAAATATTACCAGAAGTTTCGTCCGTGGATTTCTTGACCTTCTGCTTGAGTGCACTGAATGATGCCTCGGTAAATTCGGGTTTCACTTCTACTGTTTTGTGCCATTTTTCCAGCGTTCGTGGATGCGGTAGACAAGTATCAAATGTTTTTCTTATGAATTTATATGCTTGTGGAGAGTAAAAGTTCAAAGTGAGAGCAAAACTTCTCAAAGAAGGGGCATATTGAGCATGTACTGGCTTACTGCTAATCTTAGCAATCTGTCTTTTCACAAGGTTAGTCACTCCACCAGCACAGGATTCTAAAGTAGTCAGACTGTCTTCACTCACTAAGTTTGTTTTTCTTTTAATACACTAATCACAGAACACAAGTCGGTATTTTTCTTTTTCAGTCGTGTTTTCTGTTGCAAAAATTTTATTTTTTTCCTAGACTTCACAAGTTTTTCCTCTAATTTCCTCTTCATCACTTTCAATGGAGAATTTGCTAAATTAGCTTCTAGATGATTTTCTGCTACAATAAGAGTGGAAGCTGCAGCTTCAGATGAAGAACGCTCGCAAACAGTCCAAGTTTTGGGTGGGCTTCCTAGTATTTGTCTTTTTCTGTAGGTGAGCAGGGAAAGCCTCTAATATACAGGGAACAGCATTTTCTCATAGTCTGACACAAGACAAAGAAGTTCTGTCGAAATCTTCAGGGGCAAAATGCTTAGAGCAGAGACTTGCTTGTTTGCCGGGTATGTACTTTTCTCTTCGTAGAGCCCAAACCTATTTTTGCCTTCTGCACGGGTCCTTCGGCAGTCTGTGAAAAAGATTAATTTCGAGATGTAATATTAATCCTCTTTCATCCCATGTGTGTATATAAGAAAGAGCTTCCTGTTTACTATCAAGCACATTCGTTCTGGGAGGTAAACTAAAAACAAAATTAAAATTTAACTTACTGGTGAAATGTAATATACAAATCAGACTTCTTGTTAGCCCTTTCATTGCACCCAAATGCAATACAACTGGTAGGTATTGTAGAATACCCGATCACTGCTGGGTAGATACCGCAGCCACAACCTCTAACACTCACTGCTGAGTTAGTACTGAGCATGTTGAACATGTGTGAGCCATGAGGAGAGCAAGCTTAACCTGTCCTGAGAGCAGCAGTGTCATGGGTTGCGCTGGGCCTACCAATGTTACCCAACTCCAATGTCTGTTTTACTGGAGATAAGACACTAGGCAAGCCTTGACTTTGTCATCACTATTTCATTAGTGGGTATGTAAGTAACCAGTGTGAAGGTATCTAACTCTACGGTAAGAAATTAAGAAACACATAATATTATATCCATCCAGACATAAATCCGTGACAAGCAGCCTGCAGCACGTTGGCTGTCAGTCAGGCTGCTGGCTTTAATATGTCAGGCTGATGCTGCCTCCAACCTTTATACCTCCATAGTAGTATATACAGGCAAATCCCGTTATTCATAGCCTCAGTATTGTAACCCCATTTGTCCGCAATCATTATTGTTACCCATTTCCACTATTCGCAATGGTTTCCCCCTTTTTTCGCAAATTCTTACCAGCAAAAATTTTGAACCGCGTGCCTCAACCGTAGCGTAGGACAGCGTGTGTTTGTATTCCTCCGCCATACGCTTCTGCTCGCCTCAGTCTCACACATGCTGGCGTGTGTTTTGTGTGATCTCGCAGTTGTGTTTTGTGTGATCTTGCAATGCCTAAGCAACCAGCTACTAAAACTCCCAGCAATGTTGCTAAGAAATCAAGTGTGGCAGTTACATTGGACGTGAAATTGGATATCGTAAAAAGACATGAACACGGAGAAGGAACGTCGGTGAATGGTCGCATGCACGGCTTGGCTCCCTCTATGGTGCATTCTATAGTTAAAAGCGCCAACAAGATCAAGAAGATGGCCGGGTCTGCAATACCACTGACGGCTACGAAGGTGACGAGGTTCCATGATGCCGAGATGGAGAGTATGGAGCCGATGTTGAGCACGTGGATTGACGACCAGACCCAGCGCCTTAAAACACCTTTATCGCAACACATGATTCAACAGAAGGCAGTGTAGAACAACAGCTTTCAGTGCAAATTGACAGCGATTATGAGAGTGAGGTGGCTGACAACCCTGGCAGTGATGATGAGAGTGAGGTGGCTGACGACCCTGGCAGTGAGGGAGTGAGGTGGCTGATGACCCCAGCCTCCTCTCACCCCAGTAAACCTTCACCCTCTCCCCTAATGCCAACTTCAGCATGCAAGCAACACAGCACATCAAAGGTAAATTAACAGTCTACGTTTAAAACTTACCTCACACACCTACGCACATTAAACATTCAAACACACACACTCAAACATGTAAAGTACCCCTGTATACTGTACTTGCAAACATATATGCCTAATAAACTCAAAGTGTTTGTTATTGATGTTTATTTGATATTACTGTATGCCCTTGTTTATTTATTTTATGTTCTATATGTATTGAGTAAAACAAGTGTTAAAATCTGACTGCCGTGACCACAGCGATGCCCGTATCTCCCATATTTACATTATTTCTTATGGGAGAAATTGCTCCGTTATTTGCAATTTCGATATTCGAAACGAGTTTCATGCCCTTAACCTTTGAGATAAGTGAGGCAGCCCTACGGTATCAGGAAATGTGAGGAATGAATAAAAATAATGCCAATAAATATGTTACAACAAAAAATGCTATTGCCAAATCAGTAAATAAAAGCCAAGCCAAATGAAAATTTAGCATAGTCGCCATTGCATACACTCCCTGCTTCACCAGTTGGGACGCTGATTCTCTAGCAATGCTCCCCACACTCTACACTCTCCTTACGGTATGTGTTTGCCCTTAGGATAATTATTTATTTTACTTTTTTTTTCACAATAGGTATGTAGGATGGTGTATGCATGTATCTGAGTAAAAATAAATGAAGAAAGTTACATTTATCTACCCAAAAATACGAGTTGGAAAAACACCTCACAGATTGGCCCAGTAGCCTGGTGGTTACAGTGATGAGTCTAACTTAGCTACAATGCCATGATTAATCACTATTATATCAGTAAACACTAATAATAACAGTACATCCAGTGAAATATGGCAGGGAGCGAGGAGACTTACAACAGCAGGTGATACTCAACTAATAGTCACTCACTCCCCTTATTAGCACCCGTTACCAGGAGTACGATCAAAATACGTATGGGAGAAATACATATTTTGTGATCTAATTTGAAAACAGTGATGGTTTTTACGCCTTGCCTTGGCTACCACATAAGATAATCTATTTATAATTTAATATGCAAACAAAAATATTTTCTAAATGAACATGCAGTAATAATAAAGTAAATAATACAATAATAAATAAATGTAACACTGCGAGGTGAGTTGATGATGCGAGGGGTAAGGTGATGAGGCAGGAAGTGAGATGATGTGACAAGACACTTAGGAAACTGATTAACAGCACTATCAAACCATTGTCTTATAAAATTTTAATTTCTCATTTCTATTTCAAATTTTATACAGTACAGCCACTCCTCGACTTACGACGGGGTTAGGGACCCAAATCCAGGTCGTAAGTCAAAAATGCGAAGATAATACTGTACCTAGAAAATCTAAAATGGGTGTCTCTTTTTCTTCTCAGCACCACAAAACTCTCACTTTTAAGCATGCCAGCCATTTTAAAGGGAATTACAAACGAAAATTTTGTCAGTACGCAGCGCAATCACTATCGTCGGGACTTGAAAATAAGTAATTTTTAAAAATTTTGGTATGACTAAGGCGGTCTTTGTCCGGGTGGTCGTGAGTCGAGTAGGTCGTGAGTCGAGGAGTAGCTATATATGATGGCTCAATTTGGCTATGCTTACACTTAAACAACTGATCAGTGAATAATCCAGGGCATATGGAGACTTATTATACACTACAATAATATATATTAAGTTCTGATAAATACACTACAATATTATTTACTAAGTGCTCAAGACAGATCCTGTGGTAAGCACCAACCCCATTGATAACAACAGTGTTTGAGAGATGGTGAATGCTGGCAACATTACGCGTTTATTGTAAGGCATTTTAAGAAGTACGGAATAGCTAACGCGACAGCTTTCCCAGGCTGTCATTAAAAAATAATACAACATTGTACTGCATCTTGGGAATAACTGTTGTACAACACAGTCTTCAGAAAACAATAAAATTAGGAGAACTGTTGAAAAGGTGGGTGGTCCCTGACTCCGGGAGTCCGGGGTGGAAGCTTTAAACCACACTACACGCTCTCGTCTTTCTGCAGCTGTTCGCATACATAAACACTCCTTAAGACGAATTTCAGGTTTGTTTTAAATATTAATTTTTGCATTTACAAAACTTTAATAAACTTGTTCACCCTTATTTAAAGTATCTTGTGAGTAATGATATTAAAGTTTTAATCATATTTGAGAAATTATCAGTATTGTTACACCAGTCATCAACGGCTAATGAAATTGGACAGCACCCACATAAAAAGGGCGAAGCCTAAACAGGTTTCAACTAGGAACTATCCTTTTAAATTTTTTCATGCCTTACGCTTTGTTTTAGGTCCTATCCATTATACTACCGTATACAGGGTATAGAACTATTTTTATATTTCACAGTTTTTTATTGCCTTATATGCCTCCAACTCTTCAATATCAATTAAATTAGTCTCCAGAAGCAGCCATGATCCGCGCTATTTTCACCGGGAGAAATCACTGATTGGTTGTTAGCTATTTGTGCCACTTGGGCCCTGCGAAATGCTAACGCCTCATTGAAGTGTTAGCCTAAGTGTCCTGCGCACAAATAAAAAGCAGCGTCTGCGCATACAGAATAGCTAACGCGTTAGCTATTTCGTGCATCAAAAACGCCTTACAATAACTGCCTATTATTAATGAGAGTGGGTCAGCAGGACAGATCAGCTGTTACCACTTTCTAAACAAGAGACTGAGAATATACTGTGGGGTACGGGATGTTGGTTTACACACAGGATGGGATGGAGAAAGGAAACTCACAATGTGCTCTCTGTATACATATTGTATTGGATGTACAGTGCAGCTTGGTACTGGGAAGGCAGCATGGTTACAAGCGTTGAGTAGAGAGAACTGGTTGGTGAAGGTGCTCAGAGGAGGACCAGCTTGTGGGTCGCCATGGTCGCCAGCGGGAGCGAGGACCACCAGGCAGGAGGAGGAGGAGGTGTTGCTTGTTGGTGGCTGTGGGTAGTAAGAGTGGTCACCACAAGGTGTGAGTCGCCATGGTCACCGACTGGAGCGAAGGCCTCCAGGCAGGAGTGGAGGAGGAGGTGTTGCTTGAAGACTGGCTGTAGGTAGTAAGAGAGGTCACCACGAGGTGTGGGTCGCCATGGTCGCCGGCTGGAGCGAGGGCTGCCAGGCAGGAGTGGAGGAAGAGGTGTTGCTTGAAGACTGGCTGCAGGTAGACAGAGGTAGGTCACCACGAGGTCATGTCTTATATAGCGGAGGTAGGCGTGGCTTAATAGTTGACCTCCGTCATGTAAGGCGGCGCTAATTGACCTAGACACGAGGTGCAGCTGGATTCGTGGGTCGGTTCGTCAGCGACAAACAGCGTTTGTAGGGGAGGAATCCACTACAATACTCCCCCTTCCCTCCAGGCGGTGTAGTAGACTTGTTGTCTGCATGGTTGCATGGCACATGTGAGGCAAAACGGGCGGTGCATGCCACATGTGAGACATAATGGCGAGGGCGTGGATGAGCCGGCCGCTAGAGGAGACAACTGTCTAGACACACGAGATCTGTGGGAGAAGAGAGGGAGAAAAAGGGTGTGTGGGGGCGATGAATGTTGTGCTTCTGTCGCTGCAGGGGCAGCATCCTCATGGTCACTGGCTGGGATGACTGGGTCAGGGGCGACGTCAGGAGGAGGGTCTAAGATAGGAGCAGGTTCTACAACAGCATCAGGGTCCACGACAGCAGCAGGGTGCAGGACAGTAGCAGGGAGTGCCTGAGGGGAAAAAAAACGGTGTGTGGGAGCGATGAATGCTGTGCTTCCCTCTCGGCAGGTACAGAGTCCTCAGATGCGCCTGCTGGGGTCGGTAGGACGTGATGCTTGGGGCAGGAAGAAGAGCTGGTGTCTGCTTAGAGAAGCAGTGCTGCTCTAGGGTGTCTAACCTGCAGTGTAGAGACAGTAGTTGTAGAGTCGATGAGAGCTGCCTCTGCGTGGGTAAGCCAGTCTTCCATGCTGCTTGAAGACTAGGAGAGTGATCAGTTTCTCCTCCATCCTATGTGAGTGCGAATCTCCGGGGGTCACCATTTGTGTGGTACGTGATATTTCTCCTCCATCCTGTGTGAGTGCGAATCTCCGGGGGTCACCATTTGTGGGGTACGGGTTATTTGGTTCACACTCAGGATGGGATGGAGAAAGGAAACTCACAATGTGCTCTCTGTATACATATTGTATTGGATGTACAGTGCAGCTTGGTACTGGGAAGGCAGCATGGTTACAAGCATTGAGTAGAGAGAGCTAGTTGGTGAGGGTGCTCAGAGGAGGACCATCTTGTGGGTTGCCATGGTCGCCGGCGGGAGCGAGGACCGCCAGGCAGGAGGAGGAGGAGGTGTTGCTTGCTGGTGGCTGTGGGTAGTAAGAGGGTAACCAAGAGGTGTGGGTCGCCATGGTCGCCGGCTGGAGCGAGGGCCGCCAGGCAGGAGTGCAGGAGATGTTGCTTGAAGACTGGGTGTAGGTAGACAGAGGTAGGTCACCACGAGGTGAGATCTTATATAGCGGAGGTAGGCATGGCTTAATAGTTGACCTCCGTCATGTAAGGCGGTGCTGGTTGACCTAGACACCAGGTGCGGCTGGATTCGTGGGTCGGCTCGTCAGCGACAAACAGCGTTTGTAGGGGAGGAATCCACTACAATACTACGGTAGGGTGTGTCATACGGAGGCGAATTTTTTTTTTTTTTCAGTTTGAAAAATCGGCCTATGGTATTAATGATGTAGTTCTATGTGCAGAATCATGTGATATCTTCAGATTTGAAAAGTTTTCATTTTTTGCTAGGTAAATTTTAACTTGAAATCTTATGAAAATTCAG